AAGGTAATAAAAAGTTACGATACAACCTTAAATGTTCAATGATAAACTAATTTTGCTTGAATTCAACACCATCGATAAACAGCCTGTCGCGCACCAGGCGCACTCTCTTCTTAGCTAATTTTGCTTTCCTCATTTCTGGATACAACTTTCTTCTGGTTTCTTCAATATCTTCGGGAAATTGTTTCGCGACAATAGGTCTCGGCTTACCGCGTTGGTTGGGGTGTTGCTTGCCAAGTCTATGCGATCGATCGATCTTGATGCTATGAGTCGCGTCTTGAATTTCTAATTTTTCTTCCAATAATTTGTGTATCATCTGTGTAGTGTCCTCATTTTCTTCCTCTGGTATATTAAAGAATAATAAGTTATCCCGCATAGATCTGGCTTTGAGATCAATTACACTGTCTCGAAGTTTCCGGTTCGTCTCCTCGAGATTGTTTATTCTTGCTTGGGCTTCATTCAGCCATTTCTTATTTTCACGAGTTTCATCTTTTAAATCAATGATTTCTGCGTGCGCAAATTCGATTGATTTTTTAACTTCCATCACATTATTCTCAACGGTTTTCATGCGTTCTTCAATCTTGTCTAAGGCTTCCAATTTCATCATCATTGACTTAATCATGTCGTAAATTTCATCCAATTTCGTGTCTTCGCCGCTTTCCTTCATTACTGGTGTCTTTGGTGTTTTTACGTTCTTTCCCTTACCAAAGCAAAAGTATGGGAATCATATGGCAAAGTTTGGGCCATATATGACCCATATGTGGGAATGATATGGGACAGTATAGATATCATATGGGATTGGTATGGTGTCTAAATTTGTTAAATATCGAGATATGGAAAAGCTATGGAAACAAACACATTGTTGTTAATCCTATGGAAAATCTGTGGGGTTACTTGGTCCATAGGGAATCCATATCAATGGCACATTTTTACGTATAACCAATTCTATGGGAATTATATGGTTGTCCACATTTGGTTGTCCCATATACTTTCCGTATCTATGGGAATTATATGGTAGTCTGCACTTGGTTGTCCCATATACTTTCCATATCTATGGGAATTATATGGTAGTGCACAGTTGGTTGTCGGCCCATATACTTTCCATATCTATGGGAATTATATGGTAGTCCACACTTGGTTGCCCCATGCTTCTCATATCTATGGGAATTATATGGTAGTGCACAGTTGGTTGTCCCATATAGTTCCCATATCTATGGGAATTACATGGTAGTCTGAACTTGGTGTGGTTCTGGCCTCCCATAGACAATCCATACATATAATTTCTATGGCAATGCTATTTCAAACCTTACGAAAATTTTCTATAGGAATTCTATAGGAAATGAAATTCCTATAGGATTTGAAAGTTCCTATAGGAATTCATAAGATTTGAAAATGGTGAAAAAAATTCCTTTAGGAAAAAGAAATTCCTATATATATATACACATCATTCTATAGGATTGGAAAATTTTTAAATAAAGTTCATAGTTTGTGGGCTTCGGTGGCCAAGTGGTTAGCGCACTTGCCTTTCATCTCTAAGGCCGCAGGTTCGAGTCTCAGTGAGAACTTTCTCAATGTGACTCGAACCCAGTCCTCATGTGAAAAGAGTAAAAGTCAACGCTCTGCCGAAAGTTGTGGGTTTTCCCCGGGTACTCCGGTTTCCTCCCACAGGGAAAGCTGACAGGGTGGGTTAGGTAAAAAGGGCCCACAGTAATTGGCATATGCTGTTGTGGTGACCCTGCCCTAGTTGGCAAAGCTAAATAAATAAATAAATAAATTTATTTTCTAAATGAATAATTACCGCAATGTGCGCGACTGAAAGACTGGTGTCTAGTTTTTTTGCCACTCGCACAAAGCATCTTGGGATATGTCATCACACCTCCGATATTTTTTATTTTTTCGTTTGTGAACGCTTTATGATCAAAATAGAACTATTTTTGATGAGATTCAACTGGATTTTCACTAGTAATACATCAGCAATGTTTGTATAATGTTCAGGTAAGAATATGTTTGTATTTTGTTTATAATAAAGCAAATTATAAAGGAATACCTTGTCCAATCTTCATTCGTGAAATTCGAGCATGTGTTTCAATCGGTTTAAAATTTGAATTTGCCGCGACAATAATGATTAGAACGCTGATATAAATATATTTATAGCTGACATTTATACTTCAATAAATGCTACTATAAGAGTTTTATATTTGAATTAGACTTATCCATGTTTATTGGTTAATATCTTTGTATATGCAACTGCATATGCAAGATTAATTGCAGACATTAAGCATGCCTATTATACATACAGTATATACTATATGCTCATATTACATGTAGTTTGAAAATTTATCTACTTGCTCAAATCAGCAGCAACCTTTCTAAGATTCTAATATTTATTCATATGTTATTGTTCAAATTAAAATTTGATATTTCATTGGAAGAGATTGCCAGGAAAATTCTCCATGTTTTTCTATGAAATTAACATTTAACTATGTGATGCCGTATATTCAAGTTAACAAGACTCGATCTCTACTTATCTTACATTTCGCACTAACTCATTATAAAGATGAATATGCTCAACTTTCAGTACTTTTTAAATTTACCTTGTTTAACACCAGATCAAATATTTTACTTGTGAAAAGAGTGGACAACTTTGATAGGTTTTCTTGCTGTCGCTATGTGTTATGTGTAAACTCATTAAGACCCAATTCACATAACCTGAGTATCAGGCTCTATTTTACAAATAGAGCCTGACACAAAACTTAACCTGATCGCTTTCCGCCCACAGCAAAGTTTATATTTAGTATCCAATCAAAATGTCGCAGGAGAAATTTAAATTTCACACAACGACAACAACAATCTAATTATAGCATAGGCGCCCACTAAACGGCTGAATTTAAATTAAAACTGCAATTAACTTATAAAATTAACAAAAATAATCACAAATTAGCGAAATATATTGCAAATGTAGCTTATATTAAATCGCCACCCGATTGCTCTCTCCTCCGCAGAGGTTTCAGTGACTACAATGAGCTTTACATGGCGCTTGCCGTATTTATCAACAAACAGTGACGTATAATTACAAAGTATATATATTAAGTATACTTTATAACTATACGTCAGTCGATAGTGCAATCTGATGGCGAGTTAATATAAGCTACATTTGCAATATATTTTGCTAATTTGCGATTATTTTCTAATTTTACTGCAGTTTTAATTTAAATTCAGCCGTTTAGTGGGCCGGCTATAATTGTAGTTGTGATCGTTATAAAATATATCAACAACAATAGTATAATCTAATTAGCACCAGCCAATCAAATGACAGATTTAAAAATCGTTTGTCTAATCGCCAATCAGCGCTCAGTCCAGATTCTGGACTGAACAACTAGGCAAAATGCCACTTTTGTGTCAGGCCGTACTTTTCTCCCTTTCGCCCACGATCAGGCGTGCCTGTGCCCTAAAAAGTACGGCCTGATACTCAGGTTACAATTCACACTAATCTGCTCTATTTCAAAGCTCAATATTTTGGCCTGTCTAACACCAGACTATTTTGCATTGAAAGGTTTACTATTAATACTTAATAATTGACTGCAAAAGCTGCTGTGTTGGGATATTTAAAAGCAATGTGCCCTACTTTTAGTACTTTGTTATTTTATTAAATATTTATTCCATTAATTTCCAGACTCTCCACTTAACAAATAAAATTGTCTGTATTTGACAGAGTAAATTTGTCTTCCATTAGACAGAGTAAAATATTAAATTTGGTGTCAAAATCTTGACGTTTGAATTATTTTGTCCTGCAGATGATAGTAGTTGTAAAAGGATCTGGCATGTTCTGGTAATGACACCAGTGGGCATATTGCTCTGCAAGATTTTCTAAAGAAGGCACCAAGTCAAGTGATACAAAAAATAAACATGAAAAGTGACGTGGAGGCCAGGCGTACGCAAAGAGTTTGAATAGTCTGTAGTCAAGTTGAGAGGACTGAGGACATTATACTGTAGATATCGATACATTTATATAGATCAATAAGCACTTAGTACTTGACATTATCGCATGTTTGTATATATAGTTATACTATGGTAATTTACTTAGACAAACTTTGCAAGTTCATTATCCCATTGAGTGGTGATGCACTCTACTTTAGTATTTTACTTTGTTTAACGCCAGACAATTTTACTCGTCAAGGGGAGAACGCTGGCGTCTAATAGGTTAAGAAATAGTAAATTAGCTAACAATTTTGTAATTTGTTTATTTATTAACTATGTTATTTATTTGTGTATTGTGTTTTTGAAGATTTTTTGCATGTTAATAAAACTATGTATGCCAGCCAGTAGAGTTTTCTTGAGCCGTAGCAAGTATATTGGGAATGGTGGCCACTTGTTTTCATCCCATACCAAACCCACAATGTGTTAACATCTAGCATTTGGATGTTAGATGTTAACATGGGTTTGGTATGGGATGAAAACAAGTGCCCATACCATTCCCAATATAATATGATAATTGTTGCACCCATACCAATCCCATAGTTTATACATCAAGAACCATATCAATTCCATATCATGTTCCCAGATCATTCCCATATATAATCCTATCATTCCCATAGCAAAGTTGTTATGAAATGGTATAAGGAACCCATGTATTTCCCATAGTCAGTGATATGGGATATGTATGGATTTGTACCAAATACGTATCAAACCCATATCAAAAACATGATATGGGTATGCTATGAAGGCAACCAGGCCATACCAAACCCGTATAACTTCCATATATGGCCCATTGGTTGAACCATATCAATCCCATAGTTGGTCCATATATGTCCCATATAATTTGGTTTTGTAAGGGTTGTTATTTTCGTTTCTTCCGTTTTCATTGGTGTATTTTGGGCAGAAATAGAGATATTTCGCGTACTGCGCTTGGGAGCTTGTTGCTTCGACATCGTGAAATATGATATGAATGTTATGAATGAGTTATGGAAACTATAGTAATTATAAAAAACTATAGTAATTGTAGAAACTATAGTTTGTGTAAAGGCTATAGTTTTGTCTAAAAATGTTAGTTTTGACTAAAAACTATAGCTGGAAAAAGCTATACTATTTTAGATAAAAAACTATAGTTTCTGAAACAAATACTTAGTTATTAATTCGACTACCTAAGACCAATTTGATTGCCATGTTTATACAATTATGCCACGCATGCAGCACATCACTACCCTACACATGAAATTTATTCATCTGAAATATGATTACGCCACAGAATAGATACAGAACCAGAAGTGTCACTCAGACGATATTTTGTCCGAAATTTTACGAGTGCTGACGTGAAAATACGCCATCATATGACGCCACCCTGGAGTGCACACGGAAGTTTTTCATAGGAAAACATAGGTACAAAGTTCCGTGTGCACTCCAGGATGGCGTCATAGCACGAAAAAAATTTCGGACGTTTTCCTTCAGCCAAAACACATGAGTGTCCCTTCTGGTCCGGTATCTATTCTGTGATTACACAGTGGTTGGTTGCTATGCAGTTTGCTCCAGGAAGCGCGAGCTTTGTTTTTTCCAGCGGTATGAATGTGCAATGGCGTTGTTTTACTTTATAATATTCTTACTGTTAGAACAAATTTGTTGGGTATATTTTAACAGGTTTATAAACTTCAATATTTAAATGGAACGATTGTGATAATTTTATTTAGCTATCAAATAACAATCAGA